AGCTAAACTTTATCAGCACTCCGACCGTCCTCGGAAGCTTTTGGCGCAGAAACTGACTCCTAGACTGCAACTAACGTCAAACCCTAAGCTTAGAATGGCGGATGGCTCCTTGACCCAGAACCCAGTAACGGTGCTTCAGGAATTCCACAAATATTATTGTAATTTATATACCCATTCACATACCGCTTTGTCAGACGATTTTGAGGAGTTCGTAGCCCGTCTCCCCTTACCTGTTCTTTCGGAGTCCCGTAGGGAGGCTTTAGATGGGGAAATTAGATCGGCAGAGGTTCTCAGGGCCATCAAGGAGTTGAAGCAGGCTAAGGCTCCAGGACCTGATGGCTTCACAGCCTTTTACTACAAAACATTTGCCCACCTTCTGGTCCCACATTTAGTGACTTATTTTAATTCTCTCCAACAGGGGGAACTGATGGATAAGGATTCTAATAGAGCTTTTATATGTCTTATCCCCAAACCTAATAAAGACCATAGCGATGTCTCTAATTATAGGCCAATTTCTTTGATTAATACGGACTTGAAACTTTTTGCAAAAATTTACGCTACCAGACTAAATAGCTTTATTGCTAATTACAATCATAAGGATCAGGTTGAGTTTATACCTGAGAGGCAGGCCTTGGATAAAATAAGAAGAGGTAGCTAGCTCATGGAGAGGTATGTTGCTCTCATATTTTTGGAAAGCATTTGACTCCATTTCTTGTAAGTACCTATTTCGAATTCTCTCGAGATGGTGCTTCGGGCCCAGATTTCTGACTTTCCTTCATGTACTGTATAGCAATCCTTCGGCACAACTGAGGTTGCGGGGGTATCTCTCGGATCCTATTTCAATTGCATCTGGCACCCATCAAGGCTGGCCTTTTTTGCCGTTATTATTTGTCATTGCGATCTAAACCTTAGCGGTGGCCATTAGGTCCCTGATATCCTGGGTATAGACGGTGGGCATAGACAAAACAATGTCCCCACACACTTCCCTACCATCTCTCATTGATCTTCTGGCTCGATTTCATAGCATCTCTGGCCTGGCCGTGAACTGGAAGAAGTCTGAGGCTCTCAACATCAATTTACCGGGGGATACTGTTCAGAGCCTACAGAACCACTTTATAGCGACGCTTTACAAGGCAAATTATTCACCTTTATGGGCACACTTATTGAGGAGCATTGAACAGTGGTCATCTTTTGCATCTTTGTCTTGGATGCGTAGAATTGTGTCGGTTAAGATGGTTGTACTGCCTAAAATACTTTATTATTTTTGCACCTTACCCATAGTTGTTCCGGCAGCCGACCTTCGTAGATTCCAGAATAAATTGATACACTTTATCTGGGAAGCTAGAAGCCATACATTGCAACGGCGAACGCTATATGTCTTACGAGCTTCTGGAGGGTTGGGAGTGCCGGACCTTAGGAAATATTATTGGGCAGCTCAGATAACTCAATTGTTGCAAATTTATGCTACCTTCTATCAACCGGATTGGCTGGCACTGGAGGCACAAGCTTGTGAGCCTCTCCCCTTTGGCCTTTTAATGTGGATCTCCCCTAAGCAAAGGCAAGAAATCCTTTGCCCCACGCTATCCCATTCCCTGCAGATGTCTACGAGTCAAGGTTCAGAGGGGGGGGGCACCTCAAGTCTGTATAAGTTGTTTGTGTCTTACTCGGGTAGATTATCCTATATGCTTGCCTAGGAGAGGGATATAGGCAAGGTGATAGAGGAGAAGGATTGGAAGTATTGGTCACTTAGAGTACACAGAGGCATTAGGAATGTTTCCCTTGTGGAGGTGGGTTATAAGGTCCTCTCTCGCTGGTATTTAGTCACGTATCGATTATCTAGAATGTATGCTGGCTCTTCCCCGTTCTGTTTTTCGAGGATGTGATCAAGTAGGCACGATATTCCATACTTGGCGGAGGTGCCCTAAAGTTAGAAGATTCTGGATTCGAATTCACTCCCTGATCTTCACGGTGACCAGGATTAATGTTATTAGGAACCACAGAGCTGCTCTGCTTAATGAACCTAAAATTGGCATCTCCAGGTCCGCTCAGACCTTAATTTATTTTATGTTCCTAGCAGCTAAAATCACAATTGCTACTGCTTGGAAGGGCCCACTGGTTGACTTGATGTTGATGAAACAAACTCTCCTGGATTATGGTTAATGAGAAAATGGTCAGCATACTGCGGGACACTTCTGCTAAGTTTGAGCAGGTCTGGAATCCATGGATTGATTACCTGCAAACTGGGTCCTAATATTGATATATGATTTGTTTAGGTTCAGTTGGGCTGGTGGCATGGGTAGCCTCTATCCTCTTTTATAAATCTCTTTGCTTTTTTCTACCTTTTTCCCAATCTATTATTGTTTTCTGATCACTTGGCCCTCTGATGGCTTGTGGTCTTATTGCAAGCTAAAATTACATTGTATGGTATGGTGTTTTCTTTTATACCTGATGTAGGGGATTATAGCTTGTAAGCTTTGGCACCCTAGGATTGTTTCCATGGTCCCAACCTTTCTACCTCTTTGAGTCTGCTGAAGACCCGTTTCACGGTTTCCTATTGCATGGTGGACTGAGCTACAGGAACGTTTTTTAATCCCTTCTTCCACTGTCATTATATATGATTTGCTTGTATACGATATGAACTTCGCCTGCGTTGCTCGGTTGTACTGTAAGGCTTTAGAGAGCCAAACCGCTATTGTTGTATACTTGTTCCTTTGTTATGCCTTAATAACAAAAAAAATATTGAAACAGAAGGCTAATAAAGCGACTATAAGGGAACCTTTGGATAAAACAATCCCCTTACTATAAAAGGAGGGGTACAAAGCAGCAAAATTGTCAGTGTATGGGAAGCTGCTATATAAATTAAACCTAGGCATTTAATTCATATACCAAAACCCCCCCCCCCAAAATACTAGAACAACAAGACAACCTAAAATAGAAGTAATTTTCTTTAGTCTTGTTTGGATGATACAGCGCGGTGCTGTGATTAAAAGGAGCTTACAAACTATACCATTAAGCTGTTGTGCTACTGGCCAATCCAAACTATACCCATTTAATCTGTAATTTTTTTTTTAGGAAGATGCCTTCCTATGGCTTTCAGATCTGTTGCAGCTGCTTTTTTTGTCAGTTAAAACAGACTTCATACTGTACCTGATTAAAAAAAAAAAGCATGTTGCTGCTAAAACTACCTGAAAGAAAGCCTTTTTAAGGAGAGTGGAGTGCTGCTACTGTATTAAGCAAAACTACTTCTAAATGAAACAATTCAGCTCCACAGCAAAATATGCTTCTATAGCCTCAGTCTGTTCTGGAACAAAATCACCTTCCAGCGATACGGCAGTTACACCCCTCACCGGCAGCTGTCATCTTCTTCCCAGGCTACTTCCAGGTGCCAGGTTCGACCTCTTGGTTGGCTGGCGGGGAAATTATGTAATTCCCTGTATGCGCACAGGAAACAGTCAATCCAGCACAGCTGGAATGTCCCGGGAATGCACGCTGAGCTACGCATGCACAGCTCAGTATACATTCAACATAAGACTGTGAACAGGCAGGTAAGTATATCTTATTGCAGAAGAGACATAGTATGAAAGCTAGAAGCTGATTAGTTGGCACAAACAACTGCTCCAGATTCTGGCTGTTCCAGTCTCAGTAAATTCCCCTAACTGGCTCTGAGGTGGTCTGACAATATGTTGTTTCGTAACACCAGCATCCCTCAAGCATATCCTTTAAATGGTTTGTGCATTTTCAATGTAGCCTCATGATAAATTTTTTTTGGCATTGGTACAGATCCCCCATGACAGGGTGAAGCTCACCACACCTTTCACTTGACAATATTTTTCCTATTAGCTCTACAAATGGCCATAATTGGCCCTTATAGACTTAAATGGCCAACTGCCACAAAGTTTGTGAACTTCGAGCAAAATTCACAAAACAGATCCACTTGTCCCTAATAGAAAATAAAGGGAAATCTACTTTTTAAATGTATTTTACTATTTGTTAACCATTCCCTATTCTATCCGAAAAATACATTACTGCACCAACAGTTATATTTGCCTGGAGTAATATAGCTACTCTAGCTGAAAGTAAAAATATAAAATACAGTGTAAAAAAATATAACATAGCCATCTTCATACTAAACACAGTCTTATGTTGTTGAAGATGGATAATGTATGCCAATATCTCAAATCCTGATTGGTGAGTGTTAAGTCAGGACAGATTATCAAGTAAATGCTATTTGCCCTCCTGGCTGTGATGTCATTCATTTTCTCATTATCTAGGACTGACAACAGGCTTGGAGAAACATTTCCCATGATAATTGGGAACTGTTAGTAAGTGTTATGAAGTATGGTATGTTCCCAGACAAGCCGGCATCAATGAAATCCTTTGTTAATAAGGGAAGTGATTCTCTGCTGCATTAGCATAATGTGTCCTGTGGAACCATAAACTTTAAAGCAGATGCTCCCAAATGTATATAATTCACAAACAACTCTAGTGCCTACATAGCATTTGTTGTTCAATACTTACATGCTTTAATATGTGCTATTCAGTGATTTTAGTTGATTTATCTACAGTATGATTGTGTGGCTAATTTAGCCTGTGGTATTATCCCCTCAGTATTAAAATAATTAAAAACACTAAACATTTAAAGAGAGTCCCTTGCACTGCACGTGATTAAAATACTGTCATCACTATAACGGGCAGACTGACAACTATTAGAAAAACCAAGGTCTTCCAGCTACCAGACTAGAAGTCAAAGCTAATTCCTGGATACAATGGGTAAAGAAGAGTAGAGAATGCAGATTTCCGGGAGTTTTCAGAGATAGTCAAGAACTAGTTTACAGGTAACATGGTAACTGTTTTTGTTGAGCAAACTGGTATTTCAAAAGCATCTGCAGTCATAGATTGCACCCAATAAGTAAAAAAAAGACTGCAGCTTGTTTTAAAAGCAATTTCATGCTGTTGATGTTGGTTTAAGAGCCCGGACTGGAAAGTCTTATATTGTTTGTTTCATGTAAATTCTTCATTATGTAAATGGTTTAAAATGAGAAATGCTCAGTGGAATATTACCAATACCTGTCCTTCAAGCAGCTTCATTATGTGGTTCATCCATTCTTTATCATATTCTACTGACCGCTTTGCATTTGCTATTTCCTAATGGGAGGAAAGGAGACACGATAATTTATGACAGGTTTATGAAAGCATTATGGACACAGAATAAAAAAGCGCATTGCATTTAAAACACCTTGCATCAGAAGTGACCAGAGTGCTTCATGGATACATTACATATCCCTATTTTGCTAATAACAAGGAACAATCAATATCCCTGTATCTTCCATAAATGCATGAAATGGCTGTATGGACCTGGTCCAGGATTACCCTGGCTATATAGAGGTCGCCGAAGCTTGTTCTGACAGCTGCTGAGCCATCTATCTTTCCATTACATTAACTACACACAAACAGTGAAAACTAATTCTGCTCCTCCTATTCACATCTATAACGATCTTCGTTCATAAAAAAAACTCACGGAGGTGCTGTAGCCTGAATTACTTTATTCATGCAAAGAACAAAGAAAATGATTGTGTTTTCCAGATAGCATAATAAGTTGTCCTCTTTGTAATATTCTTTTTATAACCCATCAGCTAAATCCCAAAAGTGGAAATTGCATACATGAGGTATAAAGGTTAAATGTATTGGTGAGTCTTCAATGACTTTCCAATGTAGTTTTGTAATAATTAAAGTGTAATGGGGCGCTTCCTCCCTCTCCATCACAACAAATAGCAAAAGATATATCATACACTTTACAGACAATGGTCAAAAGGCTGTCAGCACCAAGGTTCCAAATTGAACTCTATAACTTTTTACTTATATTCACAGTGATATCCTGTCCTCTGTGTAAATGCATTGATTTTAGATTGGACATAGACCAGGAAATCTTGCATCGTTATATTTTTTGAGAAATAAGACACCACTACTTTTTGTGTAATGAAATAAATAGATAAGTACAACAAACACTGAAATACTGCAGATATATACCACATCACATGTCTGCAAATACAACAGCAAAGGATGCATAGTATTAGTAGAGCACAAAGGTATATAAAGTTAATCCTGAGCCAAATTTGTACAAAAAAAATATACATAGCAATAGAGCAGTAAACATGGTGGCAACGTTTTGGAGATAAAGAGCACCCTTTATTAAGTCATTCTAACCTGATTATTGCACCGCACATGCTCCTTTTAAATGCACCAAACACTACCCCGCCCAGGCAGCCATTTGGAATGTCACTTCAGATCTGGGGCACCATATCTTCATTTAGGGCTTGTTCACACCAAGGTGCAGAGACGTCAGTTTTTCTGCACGCATTTTGCAAGGGCACAACAAAATCAATTGTTCTCTATGTGTCCTGCTCACAGCACAACATTAGTATCAGGTGCAGATTTTTTTCTGCACAGTAATTTACAATGTGTATAAAACTCATTGAAGAGAGCTTAAAAACTGATGTAAACTGAAGTCCCTGCAAGTGAAATCTGTGCGTCAGTTGCCATCAGTTTTTCTGCACGTATGGTGTGAACAAAGCCTTACTCTACACTACGTACCCAAAAGTTCCAACCATTGGAGGCAGATGAATGCACACTTCTGCCAACCACACTCCACAATCTGCACATCCCATATGGGGGAGTGGCACTCAGGACACAGGTAGAGGAATGTGATTTAAGTATTTCCTGCACTCATGTGACCTAAAGAAAATAGTTTGCACACTAAACACCATATAAAAACATATCTATACACTATAAACATGGTAAAATAATCAGGAAATGGAAGGGTTCTTACCAATAGGTTGATAGATCACATAGTGACCAGCTGGACATTTTACAGTTAAATCATGTTCCTCATTTGGTCCTTTTGGTTGTAACATACCTAACTGTCAGTATCAGCAGATCTTTTCCTCTTTTAGAATCTTTCCACATCCTCAATCACAGTAAAGCACAGTAGTGAGCTCCTATGATTCTCCTCCCAAAGAGTGTCTCACAGATGGTGAAAAGAAATGTGCTGGTGTTCCACAGGATGCTTCAACTGGAGTCTGTCCAACATACCCAAGGCCACCATGCTATTGTATTTACCGACATGTGATGTGTTGTGATAGTTTGCATCTAATATGTAGCATTGTACAATTGTGGGCACAGTTGGATACATGTAATTATGTAAAAATCTTCTGCTGCAATATTTAACATTTTGTGCTGTGCTGATTCAATTATTTTGAGCTATTGGGATCCATGAGGCAGGACTTGTTCAGATTTCCAGCATACTGGAAGATCTTTGCAATTAACAGCTTCCACTAAATACAGTGCTTTATGATTACTAATAAAGCTCAGCCAGGCTGCACAGACTGTCGTAGCAACTCAAGATTTTTTTTACCCTTATGAATGGAGGGCTTTCCAGTTGTGTCATCTCTTACCTTCAATTATGTTGCTACAAAGAGAACTTAAAAATTGGAGTCTGCATCTGATAAAGAGCAAAGGAAAACTCTTCAACTAATCTTGAAAAGCTAGAGAGTATGTAGTTAACTGTCAGCATCTCTATTACAACCAACAAAATTGGCACAAATTAAGCTGCGGTTTGCCAAACAATGCATAGTGTATGAGCAAGAATTCTGTGTGAATCAGGGGCATGACTTGTCAGAGCACGACGATATCCCAATTGCATGTGTATGAACTTATTAGAGTAACACTACGGGTTTGATTTACTAAAACTGGAGAGTGCAAAATCTGGTGCAGATCTGCATAGAAACTAATCAGCTTCCAGGTTTTATTGTCAAAGCTTAATTGAACAAGCTGACATTAGAAGCTGATTGGCTACCATGCACAGCTGCACCAGATTTTGCACTCTCCAGTTTTAGTAAATCAACCCCAATGTAACTTAACCACTTGCCCTCCAGAAGATTTTCCTCCCTTCCTGATCAGGCCATTTTTTTTTATATGGTACTGCATTACTTTAACTGATAATTGCGCGGTCATGAAATGCTGCATCCAAATTAAATGTATGTCCTTTTTTTCCCACAGATTGAGTTTTCTTTTGGTGGTATTTGATTATTGTTTGTGCTATAAACAAAAAAAGACTTGACAATTTTGAAAAAAAAAAAAACAAAACAAAATTTTTGACTTTTTGCCTTTAAAACATATCCAGTAAAAAATAAAATTTCTTCATAAATTTAGGCCAAAATGTATTCTGCTATGTTTTTGCTAAAAAAAAATCCCAATAAGTGTATATTGATTGTTTTACGGGAAAGTTATAGAGTCTACAAATGGCGGTATATATCCTGGAATTTGAATTTTTTTTTACTAGTAATGGTGGCAACCAGCGACTTATAGCTGGGCTGCAGCAGGCATTCTGACACTTGGTGGCAACTAACTGCCACTGATATCTCCAGTGACACTAATACAGTGATCAGCGCTAATAAAAAGCCCTGACACTGTACTAATGATACTGGGCAGGAAGGGGTTAACATCGGGGCAATCAAAGGGTGTTTTTGCTATGTGTGTTTTACTATGTGTGATGTGTTGTTTTACTTGGGAGACATGCTGCTTTGTATCTCTCTGCTGTACAGAGAGATACAAAGCAGCATTTCCATGCTGACAGGAGAGAGATCGGTGTTGTTTACACATAGATCTCTCCCCTCTCAGCCCTGCCAACGATCACTGAGTCCCGGCCGAGAATCGCTGTCTGGGACCCGGTGATTAACATATCCATAGCCTATAGCGGCACGGGTAGGGTGGCGTCTGCATCCCCTACCTGGAAATGCAAAATCACATATATATGTGATTTTGCACAGCGGAGCTGCCTTGTAGCAGTATATGCTCTGGGGCAGCTCTTAAGTGGTTAAACTATACAAAGGTAAAGTATTCAGAATTCAGTGATTTACCTCTTCATCGGGAATCTCTAGAATATCATTAAGGTCAGAATGTGAGATGTTTAGAATTGAAGCTGCCAGGGACTGTGCTTTGTGTACAGAATGTCTGGATGGACCACTGCCGGATTCTTGCAATAGCTTGGCTTGTCTAATGTGGGTTCTCATTTCACACACTTCTTTATGAAGCTCTGTAGCCAAATTCTATGCAGAGGGAAAAGAACACAATTTCAATATCAAAACACAGGTAAGGAGAATTACAACATGCAATTGTAATTCAGAGTTTTCATACTCTACAATGCAACAAACATTGGCAGTACACAATTAATGTTTATTACAACTGCATTAAACAGGAATGCTTAGCATCGGGGTCAGTAATATAACATTAATATTGTGGTAGGCATGCATAAATATTCCAATTTAGCTAATGCACTAGAACTCAACATGCAAAAAATGTTTGCACTAGCTTATCTTGTTTACATCACAAAAATATTAAACAGTATCAAATAAATATTACCAGCAACTGGTATGATATTTGTATACAGTGCACCATTTTTGGGGGTTATACCACTGCCAGTCCATGTCCTACCTGCAGGCAGCGCACATTTTACACATTAGCTGGTCAAAGCTGGAGATAGAGCACCCCAACAAAATGGACAGCACCAGCAGAGTGGAAGTAGTTGTGTCTAAGAGCGCCAGAGGCCATTTTGAAAGGATGGCGTCTTGATTTGACAATAGTTGTAATGCAGCCATGTCCATGGAAATGAAAGCAATAATCACATGGTCAAGTTCCAGTAAAGAAGGTGTATAACCAGCAGATGTACCTTCTCATGTCTGGAAAATAACAAAGTTACCCACATAATGTAGATAAAAATATGAACTACGATGGTGCAGGTTGTTCCTATACTATAAACGGTTGCAAAAATAATATGTTAACCGAAAACACTCATACCTTTAGGCTTGGTTCACACTACTGTGACCCGATTCTGATGCGACATTCATGATCATGTAGTGCGACCTTGATGCGCCTAGCGGATGTGGCTAGCATATTCTATGACGCTACTCTGCACTGAAATTGCATCAAAGTTGCATAGGAATCTTTTCCAAAAGCACACTGCACAGAGTTGCACTGATGTGAACTGGCAACATTGAACAAACTCCAAAAGAAGATCCTCTGATATCCAAATTAGCACATGTGGGTAAAGAAAGAACTCGCCATAGTGTAATATTATCCAACAGATTTATTGTAAAAATCCCCCCTTAAAATCACACTCACAATAAGCAAGTAAAAGTAAAGCATTTGTTACATCAGAGCTCAGAGCCCTGTATCCAGCGTCTCACCAGCCTGCCTGCACTCAAGATGGCGATAGTGCGATCACGTGATCCGGACACATGCGTCGGCGTGCGTGGTGATGTCACTGACTAGCCACACTCTAACGCGTTTTGTCCAATGACTTCTTCCGAACTTGGATATGAGAGGATCTTCTTTTGGAGTTTGTTTGGTGGAATACCGGATATATATTGATATGCTGATTGATTACCAACACATCAGGATCTTCTCTTGGAGTCTGTTTGGTGAATGCTGGATATATACTAATATGCTGGTTAATTACTAGCACATGGTGAGTGTGCATTTTGATGGGGTGTTCTGAGCACTGAATATCACATTTGATGAAGGAGGATCTCAGTACTTCATTGATTAAGGATCATTGATATATGGACTTTTTTTCAATGGACTATATTGAGATCCCTTATTTATGTTATTGCACTATTAACTTGCACATATTTGGTGGCAGTTATATATATTTGTGCAATTTAATTTATTGATTTAATTTAGGATTGCGCTATTATTTGTGGTTATTTTGCTTATCACAATTTATTAATATTTAGATAACACACTGTTTTCCCAGTTTAGAATTGTGATTTTAAAAGCTCTGTATTTTTAGGGAAGAAGTCATAACTAAGGCCTAACTTTGTAATAAAAATATGTTTACGCTTTTTGGCTGTCATTGTCCATCAACTATTTATATTTACTGAAATTACAAGGCTTGGGTCTTTGGGACAGACTGATGTTTCCAAACAATTGAATAATCAGTGTTCTGCCCATTAAAGAATTCACTATATATTATGTGGTTCACCCAATGAACACATCAGTAGCCATATACAAAAATGTGAACACCGATCTGCTGGTTTCATTCATTAAAATCCACATTGTTTATTTATTCAGTTTACTGCCTAATATTCACTGTCATTGTCCGGACTTCTGATTCAATTTGCCTAAATCCCAGCTGCAAAGTAATCCTGATGGAGATTAAGTTAATTTATCGCCAGTATCTCTCCTGAACTATCATCTGTTTGTGTTTTGTAATGAAAATGTTGTCTCTGCTTCATAAAGGTGACACTCATGTTTGAAGAAATTATGAAATGAAGGAAGGCCTGTGCTTATGCTCTCTCTCTCTTTTTAATAGTAGATACATTTGCAAGATTCTATTTAGTGTATTTTATACTGGGATACCCACAATGCTACTCATACATTTTCCAATCACAACTTGAAATTTGAACTTGCTACCTCGGTGACTGTAACTGAAATATAAGATATTGTCTTTTTTTAGTCAGGTCAATAGCTCAAGCTATTCGAACAAGTGATTCATCCCCCTCATTAACTTTGTTCATATTTAAAAATGATAACAAACCTATAAAAGTGTACATCAAAACTGAACCAAGAACATTATAGTTTCCCTTTAAAATAAATCTGTTACTACAGAAAAGAAGACACATAGTTCTAAACATATAAAGTTAGGTATTTAAATACATTGTTATAAACATGTATAACCAAGTACTTATAGGTGTCTTCATGCACCTTTTATTATTTTCCAAAACACGAGTTGCCTTATCCCTCATGCAACTTGACGTTTTTACAGCTGCTGTTTTTGGCTTTTGATGTTTTTTTCTACAGCCAGTAAACTCCCTGGCATGTTATCTTATGTGTCCATGCACACATAGACTTTAATCAGCGTTTTTTTGGCTGGGACGTTTTTTGGCTGGAAAAAAAAAAACAGGACTAGTGGGTTTCTAGAGGAGTTTTTTAGCTGTAAAAACGCTCTAACACTGAAAAAAATGCGACAAACCGCAGTAAAAAGCTGCAAACCGGCATTTGTGGAAGTTTTTTGACCAAACTAAATTTTTTTTGTTAAAAAACGCTACAAAACGCAAACATGAAAAAACGCTGCTGATCACGGCAAAATGCCGCTAAACGCTAATGCAAAAATGCTAAAAAAAAGCTGGACAACTCACGGTTTTAATGTGACTTTACACAGCTAACGTTACCAGCATTAAAATGCCCAGTATGCATGAGGGCTTAATTCTGAGATATTTAATATACAAGTATCAACTTTCAACTCTTACAGGTCAAGTTTTGTAATCTTGGCTTTTGCTATAAATAAGTTTGTTTTCAATGCGCAGTGATAAAGTATGATTACCCTGTAACACTACAGGTCACCAACAGATGCAGAACAGATGAAGGGCCACTCCTGGTGAAGGGGCAGTTATACATTATACTACAGAACATGTGAAGTTTTGAATTAAATTAGCTGTAAAAAAATGGTTAAACTACAAATCCCATGATGCCAGTCTATATTCTGTCAGTGAATGAGTACTGGAACTTTTTTGAACAGCTGCAAGTTGCCAAGAGTACTGCTGATCTACATGGAACATATATCATCCAGGCCAAGTAATGGATAATTAGTCTAATTTTCACACGCAGCCCTTTACACAGAATGTAAAGTGATTCTAAAGAAAGCTATTGGCTCCTGCTGCTGTCAATAAAATGGAGTGAGGGGGAAGTGGGGGCAAGGCTAAGACCAACTGTGTGCGTCTTTGGAGCGTGGCTCCATAGACATACAGCTTGGAAGCGAGCACGCACCGTGTGCCCCCACAGCAGACGGCTTGCTATGGGGACATACGAAGAAAAGGAAGAGCCAAGATCGCCAACCAGGGACCTGAGAAAAGAAGGATCAGGGATGCTCTGTGCAATACCATGGCACAATGCAGGTGAGTATAATGTTGTTATTTTAATTTTTAAAATAATTTACCTTTAGTAACACTTTAGGCCATCAGCTCATCAACTGACATGTAAACACTGAGCACTTATAGTTTCATTTCTGTTCAGTTATTATTGTTTTTTCCCCTTTAGTCATCATAGCAATGACAAGACTTCTATTGTCAAATACTAAAGCTTGGTACACACGGGCCAAATATTGGCCGGTTCAACAGAAGCCCAGCCCGTGTGTACAGCAGCCTGTCCGACTTCTGTAGAACGGGCATGCTAGAAAAACATCTCCCGATTGCATCTGATGACCGGTGTGTTCTGGTTGGGGGGGGGCACTCCCCCTAACAGAACACAACAGCTCAGCAGGGAGAAAGCTGTACTAACATTGCACAGTTAATACAGAGACTGCCTTGTGAACTCCTCAGTTTTTTAAAATAAAAAACTCATAAAAATAAAATAAAACACTCATAGTGTATACCAAGGCATTAGATGTGCTGGAATCTCACTGGCTAAAAACAGCCATATTATCTGACTGATGAATCATCCATACCCTACAGGCTAGGTTAGGGCAATTTTAGGATCTATCTCCAAACTGACAAACACTGTACATAACTAGAAAGCACCTGCCGCAAAGCCTCCTCAATATCACACCACTATTTCTCAGCACAACCTGTCAAATACTCACTGAGAGTTTATGAAACCACAGCAAAGAAGACCTAAACAAAATGCCTTTTTTTTAAATTTATTTTTTTGTTTGTAGGCATCTTTTTCCTTTGCTAGAATTAGCTCTACGGTGTGCTTCTACAGGGGTATAGTAAAAGTCAGCAGCAATATTACTATGAATATATTTCCCATTGATTTGGGTATTCCAAGCTGCAATGCAGCAGATGCATATCTTCTCTGCACTGCAAATGTTTTACCCATTGTTGTAAACAGAGAGCAATGATATTTATGCACTAGATGCATGAAAAGCAAAAACAGTGCCTTTTTCATATAATTCAAGGCTGAACACTCAAGGGTTCGCTAGCTTCAGGGCACTGAGGTGGATAGTCACAGTTTACTGATAAAGTAAAATGTGAGATGTCTCCAGGGCCTG